CCCATCAATCACTCCATCAGTGCCCCCACCATTCCCATCAATCACTGCATCAGTGCCCCCACCATTCCCATCAATCATTCCATCAGTGCCCCCCAACCATTCCCATCAACCACTCCATCAGTGCCCCCATCACCATTCTCATCAGTCACTACATCAGTGCCCCCGACCTTCCCATCAGTCACCCCATCAGTGCCCCCATGACCATTCCCGTCAATCACTCCATCAGTGCCCCCATCACCATTCCCATCAATCATTCCATCAGTGTCCCCCACCGTTCCCATCAATCACTCCATCAGTGCCTCCATCAGTGCTTCAGTGGCCCTGTTGTGACCCCCATGACAGTTGGTAGCATTGCCCTCACCATGCCCCATTGTCATCTCCACAGCTGCCCCCAACACTGTGCCCTGCATTGCTCTTACTGCGGCCTCACCTCTGCCCTACTGTAGCACCCCATTATTTATATTCTACCCCATTATTTATCTCTTCCCTGTCCACCCCTATGACCCTCACTTTGGGATCCAACCACACAGATGATGACCAGCAGCAGGAGACCAAGGCCCAGGGACAGCAGGAGGAGGCCGGGCCCAGAGCGGAGACGCTGCAGGAGGGACTGGGGAGGAGGCGGCCCTGTAAGAGGAGAGGGTGTCAGGATGAGGAGGTTCCAGACATGATGGAGATGGGAGAAGGAGAGGGCCCAGGGAGCTATCTAGTGAGGAGGGCTGGGCACAGGGGACACCAGGGGAGGGTTGGACAAGGAGGATTTTCGGATGGGGGATGCCCAGCCCTTTGACTTCAGGGACCAGCATAAGTCCTCAGTCACACAGGCCCCTCACACCCGTGGGGACCCACGTGCACACACACAGATGGGGGACGATGGCAATATGAGGGGTCCCATGGTCAGAGCTGGGGGCAAGGGCAGGAGGACACGGGGAGAGCTGGGGGCAGCCAGGCACTTCATGGGCTTGTGCTCACCTACCTGCTGGACAGTCAGGTTCACAAATGAGTTTCCTTCCAAACCCAACTACTCATCTTCCCCTCCACCAATGTGCAGCTCTCGTCCCCACCCCACAGGGCATCAGAAGCTGGGTCCACTGTGATCCTGCCTGTCCCAGTTTTTCTGGGGACGTTGCATACACTTCACACTAGGCCCATCGGAGGCTGGGGCCTGACCTCCTCAGAGTGGGGACCCATCCGCGCACGTGGTGGAGGTACAGAAATGACAGGAGAAATCCTTCTAAACTTATAAAGAGAGCATTTTAGGAGAGTTTCCCCTTTCCTCTTACCATTTCTAACCCCTTGGACTTTCTCCTCACTCTCCACGTCCTGGAAGTTTTCATATGTCATTGTCAAGCTTGGGCCAGCACGGCTCTGAGGTTGTCACCTGAAACGGAGGCAGGGCCGGTGCCCAGGCTGGGGCAGAGCCGGGGCATAGGAGGTTGGGACTAGGTTGGAGCCAAGGGCAGGGCTGAAGTTGAGTTGGGAGATGAGGTTCAGGTTGAGAATGGGCCCAGGGTTAAGGCTAAGACGGAAATGGGCCTGGGTTTGCAGTTGAGATAGAATTGGGGTCGAGATGAGTTTGGGAGTGAAACTGGAGGGTAATGTTGGAGTTAAATGCATTGCTAGGACTGCCCAGTGGGCCAGTAATCAGGCAGGACTGGAGATTGTGTCTCATGCTAGGATTGGGATCGGTACGCAAGTTGGAGCCATGGATGGAATTGGGGTTAAGTTTGGTGCTGAATTTGGAAATAGAATAGAATTGAGGTTCAATTTTGGCTTTGGGTTGGTGTTAAGATTCAAGTTGAATATGGAGTTGGGGTTAAAGTAGGAGCTGGGTCGGGGGCAACAGGTGTGGTGGCTCATGCCTGTAATCCCAGCACTTTGTGAGACCAAGGCAGACACATTACTTTAGGTCAGGAGTTTGAGACCAGCCTGGCCAACATGGTGAAACCCCATCTCTACTAAAAATACAAAAATGAGCCGGGTGTGTGGTGCACACCTGTAATCCCAGCTACTCGGGAGGCTGAGGCAGGAGAATTGCTTGAATCCAGGAGGCTGAGGTTGCAGTGAGCGGAGATAGTGCCACTGCACTCCAGCCTGGGCGACACAGTAAGACTCAGTCTCAAAAAATAATAATAATAAAGTAGGAGCCAGGGTTTGTGTTGGGGTTAGGGCATGGCTGGGCTGGGGCTGAAGATAAAGCTTGAAATTGGCCTGCCATGAGGCTGAGTTTGAGTCTTAGTTTATTTTTATTTTTATTTATTTATTTATTGAGACAGAATTTCACTCTTGTCACCCAGGCTAAAGTGCAATGAGGCCGTCTCGCTCACTGCATCCTCCGCCTCCGGGTTCACGCGATTCTCCCACCTCAGCCTCCCAGAGTCGTAGTTTATGACAAGGGATTGTGGCTGCTGTAACCCAATCTAGAATCCAGTGAAGGGCGTAGAGTCTCAAATCTTCACATAGTAATTAAATCCCACACTGCCACTTTATATCTATTTTCATTTAGTCCCACCCAAGACCCAAAGTCCCCCTCGCCCTGCTTCCTCTGACATCCCCTGTCCCCTGGGTCTCACCGGCACCCACAGCACCATTACCTGTGGGAGGTCTGGAGGGTGTGATTCTCACGTTGGTTGTGAAGCAAGGACCAGAGTTGGAACGTCACTCAGAGTTGGAAGCGCTGTGTCCTGGAGAGCTGGGGTAGAGGTGACTGGAGTCCTGCTGGTCTTCAGTCTGAAATCCCAGGAGCCCTATCATCTGGGACACCCCATCTCCTCAACTTCCGACAGTAAATGAGAATGAACGGGGATTGGAACACACAGAGACCGTGTGTGGGTGGAGAGAGTTGGGTCTGAAGCCAGCTCTGCTCTCCTCCTCCGGGCCATGCCTACTTCCTTTTCTCTTTTTGGAGTTTCCTCATTTTTACCATCTGGGAGCAGGACTGGATAGAGGTACACAATCTGCTGTTGCTCCTCTACCCTACACTTCCTTTCACTTCCTGCCTCTACATTTCCCAGAATTGCTGTGTCTCCATCATCGCACCTCTGATCCTAGAGAAGCCCAGTCTGTGCTTTTGTTCAATCCTGGCCTGAGTCCCTGGCATCAGCATCCTCTAGGTCCCAGTCATTCAGCGGCTCAGCTCTGGCCTCACTCGTCTCACTCCACTCGGAAGGAGGGAAGGGGGTGACAGAGAATAGAACTTCTTGGCCAGAATAGGAAGGGAGAAGCCAAGGAAAACAGCAAACTTTTATTGAGTATCTAATCTGTGATGGGATTATGCCAGACACTTACCTTCCACAGACCTTCCCCGCAAGCACCGGGGGAGGCATTTTGGATGATGGGCTAAGGCTCAGAGCCCAAGATCACACACAGCTTGTAAGGAGAAAGTTTGGCACCCTGCTCTGGCTCTCAGCACAGGCGCTGTCTTCATGAACAGGATTCCATGTCATCCCCTGATCCCTGCCCAGCCCCTAAGGGAGCTGCCCTGAGTCCATGCACACATCCCTTTGAGTAGGAAGGAAACTGAGTATCTTACAAGGTGGAGAAGGAGGAGAAGAAATACATTTTAGGTTATATTTTCTATGTACATGGGGTTGTGTTCTGCTATGTGCTTTTTTTTTTTTTTTT